TTCTTCCTTTTGGTTCAGTGGTCTTGCTGGAAAAGGAGGAGATGGGCAGATGGGGGAGAGAGAGTGTGTGTGATGAGTGGTGGAAGAAAAAGATGAGGGAATTAAATAAAATTTAAAATAAATCTAAACTAACCAAAATGAGCACATAATTACCCTAATAACACAAAAACTCCTCGTATCTTTGGTTAGTTACAAAAAGAGCACTTTTTGTGATGTGATTCTACGAAACAGTGTTTTAGAACTCTCTCTAATCCATTTGATAAAGCTATGTGAGTTTCTGACCCAATATGTTGATCACAAAAGCAGGTACAACTCGTCCACGACCCAAAATTCATCAACATTGGATTCAATTCAATAAAAGCGGAGCAAATTTGTAACAAAATCCACACTCGACCCAATTCATTAATTACAAAAGCGGGTAAAATTTATTCCAGACCCAAAATGTGATAACAACGGTACCGGGTCGAATTAGTTCGAACAAACATGAATTTGGGTTCAATTCAATTGTCATAAGACGTGGGTTCAATTTGGGCTCAATCCCAAATCGATCCAAATTTTGTGAAAACTGGATTCAACTTCCTCTGTCTGGTTTGATAAAGCGGAGTGAGCTTTTAACAAAAATCCACATGCAACCCAATTCATTGATTACAAAAGCGATAAAACTCGTCCCCGACCCAAAATTCGCCAACACAGGATTCAACTCGATAAAGTTGTCCCAGTTTATGACAATATCCCAACCCGACCCAATTTTTACCTTATTAATTACAAAAGTGGGTATAATTTGTTCTCGGTTCAAAACTTGACGACACCGGTACCGAGTCAAATTAGTTTGAACACACATGAATTTGGGTTCAACTGTCATAAGAGGCGGGTTCAATTTGGGTTCAATCCCAAAGAGACCCTAAATTTGTGAACGCACATGAATTAGCTTGAACTCACATGAATTTCTTTGACCAGTTTGATACATCAGGCGAGTTTCTGACAAAATCCACAAGAGACCCAATTTGTCTATCACAAAAGCGGGTAAAATGCATTTTCGACCCAATTCGATGATGTCAAAGGTGGATAAAATTCATTCACTCCCCCAAAAGTGTAAAGGGTAAAACTCTTCGTCGACCGAAAATGCGTCAACACTGAGTTTAGCTCGATAAAGCGAGGTTTTGGGTTCAACTGTCATAAGAGGTGGGTTCAATCCCAAAGCGATTCAAATTTGTGAACACACATGAATTAACTTTAACACACATGACTTTCTCTGACCGGTTTGATAAAGTAGGGCTAGTTTCTAACAAAATCCACACGCGACCCAATCTGTCGATCAAAAAAGCGGGAAAATGTGTTCTCGTCCCCAAAAGTGTCAAGGGTAAAACTCATCATCGACCCAAAATGCGTCAACGTTGATTTTAACTAGAGAAAGCGGGGTGTGTTTTTAACAAAATGCACACCCGACCCTATTCGTTAATTTTAAAAGTAGTAGAATTTGTTCTTGGCCCAAAACTCAGCAACACCGGTACCGGGTCAAATTAGCTTGAACAAACATGAATTTGAGTTCAACTGGCATAAGAGACAAGTTCAATTTGGCTTCAATCCCAAAGCGAAACAAAATTTTTGAACACGTATTAATTAGCTTGAACACACATGAATTTCTCTGACAGGTTTGACAAAGCGACCGATCGAGTTTCTACCAAAATCCACACGCGGCCCAATTCGTCGATCACAAAAGCGGGGAAAGTGCGTTCTCGACCCAATTCGATGATATGGATAAAATTCATTCATGCTCCCAAAAGAGTCGAGGGTAAAACCGTCTTCGACCCAAAATGCGTCAACATTGGATTTAACTCGATAAAATGGGATTTTGGGTTCAACTATCATAAGAGGTGGGTTCAATTTGGGTTGAATCTCAAAGCTACCCAAAATTTGTGAACACACATGAATTTCTGTGTTCGATTTGATAAAACGGGTCGAGTTTCTAACAAATCCACACGCGACCTAATCGTCAATCACAAAACAGGGTAAAATGCGTTCTCTCCCCCAAAATTCAAGAACACTGGATTTAACTTGATAAAGCGGGGTGTGTTCTTAACAAAATGCACACCCGAACCTATTCGTTAATTATAAAAGCAGGTAAAATTCGTTCTCAATCCAAAATTTGGATACATCGACACAGGCTCAAATTAGCTTGAAAACATATGAGTTTGGGTTCAATTGTCATAAGAGGAAACATTTAAAAGATGAGTAAAATTTGTTTTAGACCCAAAATTTGACAACACCAAAACCGGGTCAAATTAGGTTGAATACACGTGACTTTGGATTCAATTATCAAGAAACAATTAAAACATTTGATTAATTAAAGAAAAGTAAACAAAAAATAATTCTAGTTGATGTGACTACCAAATACTAACCCAAAACTTGTTCTTTTAAAGAGTTCCAAGGTTGCGACTAAAAACATCTAACCACTAAAGTCTCCAAAATCATTTGCAAGCCCGACACAACAAAAAAAATCGATAAAAAACCATTTGCAAGGCGGAGACAAAAAAAAAGTAGTAAGGAAACCGTAACCGTGATCAATAAGCGAAGGAAAGACAAAAAAAACTTGCTCGACCCAAAATTCGTTAATACCGAGCTCAACTCATTCTATTGATTTAAGCGTGTAAATCTCACTTACCCGGGTTCAACCCATTGATTTAAGAGTGTAGAACACGTTGTCAATCCAAAATTTGTAAAAATCGAGTTCAACTCGCTTTAACTATGTCGAATTAAGTCGAATACCTATTGATTTGGGTTCAATTAGGATTCAATTGTCATAAGTTAATTTATTAGAACCTTAATAGCATAAAATTAATTGATTAAAACCTTAATGGCATAAAACTCCTCCAATTTTTGGTCAATTACAAAATGATCACTTTGTGATTTAAGAGTGTAGAACACGTTCTCGATCCAAAATTTGTAAAAACCGAGTTCAACTCGCTTTAACCAATGTCGAATTAAGTCGAATACCTATTGATTTGGGATTAGGATTCAATTTTCATAAGTTAATTTATTAGAACCTTAATAGCATAAAATTAATTGATTAGAACCTTAATGGCATAAAACTCCTCCAAACTTTGGTCAATTACAAAATGATCACTTTGTAATGTGACTCTAAGTAATAGTAAGTTAGTAACCTTCTTACTTGTTCTTTTAATAGAAGGATAGAAGAATCAATAAATCATTAGAGAAAGAAAAAATTTCAAGGTCCGCGACTAAAAACATCCAACCTTTAAAGTCTCCAAAACCATTTGCAAGCCCGACACAACGAAAAAACCCGGTAAAATGACTCTAACTAAGACAATAAGCGAAGGACACCCCCCCCCCCCAGTCTCAAAAACTATTTGCAAGCCCGACACAACGAAAAAATTGGTAAAATGACTCTAACTAAGAAGATAGGCGAAGGACACCCCCCAAAGTTTCGAAAACCATTTGCAAGGCGGAGACAAAAAAAAGAAGACGGAGGAAAAAAAAAGTAGTCAAACGACCGTAACCATGATTGATAAGCAAATGAAAGACAAAAAAAAACTTGCTCAACCCAAAATTCACTTACCTGGTTCAAGCCATTGATTTAAACTGATCGAATGGGTAAAATCTTGCTTGTTCTTTTATAGAGATAATAATTTAAGAGTGTTATAGAGATAATTCAAGAGTGTAAAACTCGAGTTCAACTCGCTTCAAACTGATCGAATTAGGTCAAATACCCATTGATTTGGGTTCAATTAGGATTCGATTGTCATAAGTTAATTGATTAGAACCTTAATAGCATAAAATGAATTGATTAGAACATTAATGGTATAAAGCTCCACCAAACTTTGGTTAATTACAAAAAAGTAACTTGTTGGATGTAACTCTAAGGAATAGTAAAATCTTGCTTGTATAATAAAATAATAATAATAATAATTATTATTATTATTATTATTATTATTAGGCAAAAGGAAGGGGACCCGAACTAAGTTGAAGACACGGAAAAACATTTTTCAAACAATTTTAATATCAATGACTAGGGATGGCAATCAAACCCATGGCCGCGCCCCGACCCAGTCAACGCGGGGAATCCTCGCTATGACCGGGTATAGGGCGGGTATGGGTAAAACCCACAAAAAGTTTGATGGGTATGGGGCGGGTTTGGTTTTAGCCTCCCCCGCCTCATACCCATACCCATACCCGCCCCACCAATAGAATTTCTCCATATATAAAAAAATATGTTCATCAAATTATAATCTATCAATGATGATGAGGATAACTTGAGAAAATAAATAGAGGAAATGCAATTGAGTGAACATCTTAATCAAAATCTAATTCATTTCTCTCAATTCTCATTTCACTCTTTCACTTCTCCCCTAGTCAACAAGATTATGTTAGTTAATTATTACTTAATAGATGTATCAGAGTTAGAACACAATAATTTGAAAAATATTATACTATATATTATGTATTAATGGATATTTTAGGATCATATTCTTCGAACCATATTAAAACAATGAATGTGTTTTGTTGACTTTATGATATAATATGTTCGTTTAGAATTATAATTAAAACTTTTCTTGTAAGTTTTAGGTATAATAATGTTGGATGTACGAGTATGGGTATTACCCATGGGTACCCGAAACCCACGGGTACCCGAAGCCCACGGGTATGGGGATGGGTTTGCAAAACATTCCTCGCATGAGTATGGGACGGGTATGGGTTTGGGTATTTGAAGATGGGGATGTGGATTGTTTAGGCAAACCCGCCCCATTGCCATTCCTATCCATGACAAGTTGAGAAAAGATGGTCCAATCAATTAACATAACCTAAAAGATGTCAACTTTTATATCGATGAACACACGACCTGACATCTCATATTTCATTCAAATGATGATTGTCATATGTTTGATGAACACACGATTCAACCTCAAAATGGACACGACCTGACATCCCAATGTTTTCAGCCTCAATAACAAATCTTTGCACTTAATACAAAACAATTATATATTAAACAGAAGTGACCATTTCATACAATTGCAATCTTTTGTTACCATATCATTACAAATTAAAGATTTGCTACCATTTTATACCAAATGCAAAGGTTTGTAACCATTTATACTAATTAGAAGGGAGCAACGGATCCATGCACTTCTTCCAGCAACTATTTTTAGTTCCATCAAGTATTGTGAAGGTCAAATTGTTCACGTAAATACAGGCCACCTTACGTCTGCAAAATAAGTCGCTGGTATCTCTCTAAGTTGCACACTCGTACAAGAATCCTTACAGCAGCCTCATCTATCCATCCATCAATTTGGTCTACAAAGAACAACTCCATAACTCCCAATGTTTTCAGCCCTTGATCAATGAATCACAGCCTTGAGGGGATGTGCTCTGAGATTTGATAGGTCAAGGTGCGCATCAAGATCCTCATCAAGTTCCCCAATAACGCTTCTGCCAATATCAAAGTATCAAAATATCAGAGACTAACCAAAGAGAGAAGTACTTTCCTACCAAAAAAAAAAAAGAGAGAAGTACATAAAACAAGGCAAAGAGAAAGAAAGGTTTAAGAAGAATTTACATGTTATCTCCCCGTATTATGTACAAACCCAAAACCAGTTGTTGGACGCCTTCCTGAAAAAGATCGAACAGGCATCTACTGAGTCAACTGAAACAGATACATTTCTGTCTTCTAGGCCTGATTTGAGGGAATGCCTAACGGAGAACAGAAAGAAGGAAAACTCATTGTGGCCGGGAATTCAAATGAACAACTGCTGCAAATATCTTACAAATGTGAATTTGGATTCTTGAAAATTCAAAATTTAAACATTTACCCGTGAGCTGAAAACAAAAAAATGTGAGGCATGCATTCAAAGAAACAGTAGACCCCTTTAAAGGCTCCAATCTAATCGAGATGAAGGGAAGAATTCAGGAGAAGAATCCAAACCTTGGTGGAATAAACACGTTCATGAGATTCGTCGAGGATGATATTCGTGGCCTGATCAAAGCCTTTCAAGATGCCCTAAATTACCCAAAACATAAAAAGATGTTAGTTTACATTATACGAGATCATATAGCAATAAATAACTCCACTTCTATTCCCATCAGCTTTTGCACCTCACAAAGAAGACTACACCATCTGAGGTTGGGATCAAGCGTATTAACTATTAACTATTACTGAAAAGCTGTATTGAAAAAAATAAATGCACCTAAAGGACAGGGGTCATGACATACCACTATGTTGCGGCCGTCATTTGTGATCACAGAAATGGTTTCTGCATAGAGAAGAGCAAAGATTATTTAGACCATTAAATACGGGTAAAGACACAGAAACTAGTATCATTACTCATTAGCCACCACAGGATTCATAAACAAACGCAGACCTCTTCTTTTTCACCTTTCATCCAGAGCTTTATATTGTCAACCAGAACTCTAGATTCTTATAGTTTTGGCTTCTGACTAATGAACTAGACCTCGATACATAGTGCTATTCATTGCTAGACGTACCAAAGTCAAAACAAAGTAAAATATGGACAATAAGCAGAACGTGACTCAAGCAACTATATAGAACTCACAAATCTCTATTTCAGGGAAGGATGATATTTCATGAGCTCACAAACACAATTTCTTGAAATTTCCTCATTATATACATTGAAAAAGTTAACTCAATATTGACACGCATTTCATCAGCAGAGGACAAGATATGATTAGGACATCAATCCAATTTGCAAACTGCTAAATTAACCAAATCTTGCTCCTTGTTTATGTCTCTAGCCATACCCATAAACTATAGATTCATGTCTAAGAAACACTAAAACGGGATGAGAACTGTGTCTATCAAGGGTAACTTACGATCGACAAGAGATTCGAGTCCAGGTCCAGTAGCCATTCTGCAACTCTCAGAAGTAAGATTGAGACCCTACCCTGCTACGCTCGTTAACTGCACAAGGAAACAGAAACGGAAGATAAAATCAAATCCCCTGGATACAAGAACAAAAAGTTTCAGGCACCTAATAATCAACAGAAGAAAAAACGCATGGGAAGGGTTAGATGAGCCAACATCTAACCAGCAAAGGGTAGAACAAACGTACGGAGAATAATCAGCAAGCGGTAGCCGCAACAGACCAGAAGTGAGGCGGCAGAGGCAGAGAGTGGTGAACTGGTCTGGAGCCGTGAGGTTTCTGTTTGGAAGGCGACTGGCACTCCAGGCGGCAGCAGTGGTGTAATCTGCACCCGGCAGCAGTGGTGACAAGGCGGAGCAGTGGGGAACGAATTGTACAGTAGCGGCGGTGATGTCCGTAGGTGCCGGTGACTGGGACAGTCTATATGCTAGCAGAGGAGAATGGCGAGGTCTACCGGCGGGCGGCGGGTGAACTTGGAGGAGGAATAAGGGGTCGAGAGAAAACAGAGAAGGGGTTCGCCGGCTGTACAGAAATTAGGGCTTCGGATTCAGTTGGAAGGTGTCGAGTGTCGACGAAGGGAAGGGATCCCGTTTTGTGCGATTTCATTTTTTAAATAAATATATTATAAAAAAAAAACACTAGGCCGCTTTGTCGGCTTGTGGGCTGTAGAGAAATTGCCATTTCATACCAATTTTATCAATGTTATTCAAGTTTCCATTTGATCCATTTCAGTGATATAGAAGTGCATAAGTATATAATGGGGTAAATTGTAAGGTTAGTCATTTCAGGGGTCGTTTGGAAGTTGCGATTGTTTTGTTGAGATTGTCATTATGCATGTATTGTTTACAATGCATCGTTTTTTTTGTTTTTTTAGCAGAAACAATACATGGATTGTTTCTATGATGTGACAGAAACTATCACTCATTTTGAGTGATTGTTATATCTCAACTTTTAGTTGTGATTGTTGAGATAGTTGAGTTGAGATTGTTTTGTCTCAGCTTTTAGCTGATGCGACATACACAATCACACATACCAAACGTTGTATTCTACAATGCATCAAATTCGACAATACATGTATAATATTATACATGCATTCTCAACAATACATCTATTTAACAATCGCAACTTCCAAACGACCCCTCAGTATCCCAGAAACGGTTGCGGCGGCAGAGGAGGAGGAGGAGCGGTTTCATCTCCGACAGCGAAGCACCGCTTCTTGGCTGGCGTCTGAATTTACGGAGCAGCAAAGGATGAAATCGGAGCTGCTTCTTCTTCCTCTACATCCCTTCACAAGCCGGCTGCAGCCGAAGGAATTTAAAGGCGACAGAGATGTCTGGGAAATTCAACTGGGCCTTGTCGCCGCGGATCCGCTTGGCGGCATCGTCTTAAGCTAGAGCAGCTTCTTCCGCAGTGCTGTAGATTCCCTGCCAGACTTTGAAGCATTTGTAGGGATCTCTGATCTCCGCCGCCCATTTCCCCCACGACCGCTAGCCTTATCCCTCTGTAGTCTGTACAGGTTCTTTCGACCTCTCTGCTGCCGTCGGGATTTTTTTATCATCGTTGTTATGACTATTAATTTTAGTGCTCGCCTGCAATCAATTGAAGAAAGGGACCCAATATCACAGGCAATCACAAGGAAAAGAGGAGGAAATTGAAATACCTAACATGATAATGGAAATGATTGATTATTATTTCATCTGGATGATTTATGGGTTTAGTATCATTGTTGCCGCCGGAGAAGGAAGTCAGAGAGTTTGTCTAGCTCCGATTAGAGCTCTTACGACTTCAACTATTGGCCGCTCTTCTCGTAGCAGAGGAGATTGTCATTGGGCTGATAATTAATTTTTGTATTTAATTATTTTTTATAAAAATATTATTATGATAATTCATATAGTTAAAAGTAAATGGAATGATGAGTTGGAAAAATAAATTTATTTTTAAATTTTTTAAATTTCGACGTCATCTAGTTAACTGTCAAATTTTATAGTTGACTGCCACGTAGGATAAATTTAACGGAATGTAACGGTCGGTGACTAACGGTGAAATGATTCGTAAAGTTAGTGGCGAATAAGAAAGAAAAATAATTCGAATGGTAAATGTGAAAGATTTATATAATTTGAGTGACCAAACGTGTAATTTAGCCAAAAAAAATTAAATTCCAATGCCCCGCGTGTTAAGCAAGAACCATAAAAATTAACGACGATTGAGAATTTAGAAGACTCAATTGAGAAATTGAAATTGCATAAAAACTAAAAGGGAAGAGAAAAGACCAGCAATCCTATTTTCAAGCGGTGTGCTAGAGATGGATCCAAAAGTGAGAAACACAGAAGTAGGTGGCGACTCGGCCACCAGATTTGAAGTTTTCGGCAAAGAGCGTCGAGAAGTAGACGAAGCTTGAAGAGAAACGGAGACGCCAGCGGAGGAACGGATGAAATGGTGAAGAACGATGCCAGTGGTGGGAGTCTGGGAGAGGAGATGACGGTACCGGCGACAATCTTCAGTTGGAGACAAAGCCGACGGGGAGCGGCAACTGAAAGGAACGACGGTTTCTCCTCCCGCTTTCAATAGTTTATATTTTTATTTTTTAATAGTTACTAGTATCAATACCCACGGCTACGCCGCGGGGGATTTAATAGTGTTAAAGCAGTTAGCAGTATAGTGTTGATGAAAATAGTTGGAAATTATATACAGAAAGCAAGTAGCATACTTTTTCGGTCAAAAACTTTCAAAGTGTAAGAGACATGTGCAACCAACAATATTGATACTTTACACATACTTTTCCTTTCATTTCTATTGCCTCGGGATTTTGACTTGTCCGGCATCTACTGCAATCCTTCTATATGCTATATGCTTCCAAGCATAAAAAAACAAACATGAATAGGATGAGAAAAGGTAGATGAATCCTTAGTCTCGAAGGGCATCTTAAACCGAGTTTCACAATACCATTTAATTTGGCATTGGAGCTGTAACTACATAAGCTCTACACAAATCTCAGAAGAATCATTTAACCTATATTAACTTTTCGGAAGCTGCAGATTGACCAAAACAAAACAAAAAATGCATCTAAAACTTAGCAGTTAAACCCAATAAAGGAAAGAATGAATCTTATTAATAACCTAAGACTAATAATGAGAAACAATGGCAGCAGAACAAACTGATTCGTATCTATCCACTAAAGGCAAAACTAAAAGAAAAAGGACAAAAGCTTAAGGAAAATTGTAAATCGATTTGTGGATGCAAGTGAAAGTGTTGTGCAGCTTGTATCCAATATAAGCAAGAACAATGATAATACATCCCTGGTATGGAAGTACTAAAATAAGCTCCATCTCAGGTCCAATGTTTCGTCTAAGTCCTTACGGGATATCAATCGCCTTAACTTGGTCCTTCAACAACGCATAGACTGTCCTTTGATAGGTTATAGGTTTCGTCTAGAAGATTGGTGCTGTTGAAGCAAGGAGATACAGAAAAACTTAAGAGGATTGGTGCTGGAAAAAAAAACAAAAGTGACAGATATATCCACTAACTAAGCGAGTGAATTAACAAACTCAAACAACAAAATGGAAGGAAGCAATAGAATTTCGTCAAGCAACACCCTCGGTTGGTTTAACTTCACTATCAATCATTTGTCATCAGCCTCTAATCTATGTGCCACATAACAAATTCACCTGAGAGAATGAGAGTAAGAACTTAATCACCGGTCTTGAGGTCCACATCTGATTCACGGCTTGTCGGGCCCATCATTGGAAGCTGGAAAAGACAATCTGGTTGCAGACCTGAACGGGTATGTGTAAATTTACAACAGAACATATATAAACCGCTGAGAAAACATGATTCTGGCACCTCCATAATTGCCATTATCACCCCATATATCATGCATATTGTCATAAAGAGAGAAATGCGACAAACACGACAAATCCGATCCCCATATAAACAGTTAAAACGAACAAAATAAATCCCTGTTGAATGCTATATAGTTAGTAATTAGTATCAAAGATGTGTTTCCCCCAATATCAACGACTTTTGTTTCTAATAATAAATTGGCTGGCCTAGTGACTACGTACCAAGTAAAATGGACGTAGTCAGCATGCCATCATGGCAATCCTAAATTGCAGGCATGTTTGTCCAATCTACATACCCTTTCTATCTTCTTGGCTCTTGCCACTTCCAATTTTTTCTCATGCAACACCAAAAACAACCCTCACATTAGCAATACAGAGATAGGGCAGAACGTGACTTCTGAAAAGATTACATGCCTGAATATATGAAGTAAAACTACCCTTCCACGAAGTTCACAACACTTCCAGACAACTAATCAATACATTTCCCATCTAGTGTCCTCTCTAACCTCCTCATGTTCGAATGAACCAAGTTCTTTTTGTCTGTTGATTTTAAACAATTAGTCATGTTACTTTAACAAAGGAAGCAGCTAAATTGTCAAATGGGTGGTTACAATTAGGGTAAGTGATTTTCAAACACAGGATGGAAATATAAAGGCTCCACTCAATCAAAATAAAGAAAAATAAATCTCCTTTTCATAGAAAGCACAGAACAACTAATAAGCAATGAGCAAAGCACGTAGATGTAATGATATGTACATGGACTTTCTATACTGAATTATGATCAACAACGCAGTGTGAATTTGATGGACAAACCTGATATTTGAACTCCCAATTGGTGTTGCGGCATAATAAAATAAGGAAACTGAGAACCGCCATTTTAAACCAATAGACAAACATTCAATAGAATACGCCTTTCCATCCGGCAGCTACCCAAAACACAAATAATTCACAGTAATCACAGCCTGTTCGTAGAGAGGCAATCACTAATCAAGCAGTCAACAAAAACGGGCTAAAGTACAAATAACTCAGCACATGATTCACATATGTAATCACTAATCCTTCTACACTCTTTTCTGGAAATGCATGGAAATCCTCTTCATGTGCTGTTGTGAATGTACATAGTTGAAATAGGGATACAAACTCTTATGTTGGAGGCACGAATGCTCATTAAAATATGATGTTGGAGGCACAAAACTTCAAACAACTTATTGTGATCCCTGTAATAAAAGGGAAACAGACACAGACAGGTTACTTCAAGCACAAAGCCCCTGCTTGACAATGTGATAAGAGGCAAATCGAGCCAATATTAATAAAGATCAAAAGCAGCATAGGTTTCTGACTCTGTAGAGCATAAAACTAAAAAGCACTCAAACCATGTAACCACTTAAGAACTAAATAAGAGACTCCAACTGCATATAAACAGCAACCTCTCTAATTTTGGAAGCCCGATAGCACATACATGTTACAGCTAGTAGAAGAGAAGAACATGCATCTGTTGCATTCACAACAAAATACCTGCGATATGGAAAAAAAATGGAATTCTGAGTTCAGATGGCACTGAATCAAATCCAGCAGTCGAACGCGCGCACCGGTCCAAGTCAAATCTTGAACTAACACCCATGAATGGATTTTCTCTTTGCCAGAAAGATCTATTCTCTGTAAAAGAGAGTAACAGGGTTGGGTCTGTGAAAATGGCCGAAAATATCAGAGAGTAACAGGGAGAGAGGTGTTCCTCCTCCTACTGTTAATGGGAAAGCTTAAGAAATTAATACAAAGTAGAATCATCCATCAGTTTCGACCAATACGATTGTTCATCCCCATAGCCTTGGCTCGAGCACGAAATCAGAAATCTAGAAGAAGCGGGCCGAGAGTAGTGATAGGGAACCTGTCCAAGCAACTCTGGCAAAAGAGAAAGGGAAATCTATTAGGGAAAAAAAAGGAATCATCTTGGACTGATGATTCATCCATCCCTGAACGACCAAACCGAGACAAAGGAGAGAAACCCCGCCAGCAACTCTGGCCAAACCAAATGAAGGAAATAAATGAATATCTGATGTAGTTGTTGTAACCTTGATGGAGATTGGAGCTACGGCCGGCCAGCTTGGGATTCAACCGCAGAAGTGTTAACAGAGAAGAGAGAAGAAGAAAAGGAAAGGACATTTGAGTAAAGGTTCTGCCGCTTATGAGGTGGAATGGGGGATTGGGTCGGAAAGAATGGCGGAGAGAGGTATGGGTATTGGAGTGCTGCAAAGGAGAGGAAAAGCAATCGATTTAGAGAGGACAGGTAAAGCAATCAATTGGGCTAGAAGTCAAGAGCTGTACCGGTTGCGTGCAGAGTCCCTGCTCAGCGGTGGCGTGGTGAAGAGAATTGATGGAAGGATGGTACGACAATTGCAATTAGGGGCAACCACAGCAGTGGTGTACTGGCCGTAGTGTGAGCGGCATGGTCGTCAGCTGGATTTGGGGAAGAACTGATGAGGGAAAGCAGTTGGTTGGGGAAGATTTCTCACAAAAGCTTTGGTAGGCGCTAGAAGACAGAAAGTGCTAGCAAAAAGCGTACCCAACTTTTATATATAGAAAGAATAAATGAGGTGAAAAAATAAAAAAAATAAAATTTTTATTTATTTAATAATTTTTTAATTGCCATGTCACACAACGGTCAATTTTTAGAGTTGAGCGCCACATTATTAAAAGTTAACGGAATTAGACGGAGAGTGATCAAATTTGGGTTATTTAATTAATTTTAGTAACTATAAATGGAATTAAATATTTTTAGTGACCAAACCGAAACGTTTTTAGTAATCTCAATAACTAGTCTTGCAATTTACCCTTATATAATGTTAAGGTTATATGTATAATATGCCCCTCTACTATGCAGTTTTATCAAACATGTCCTTCTACAATTTTTTACATCAAACACGCCCCTATACTTTGGAAAAATTATCAAACATGCCCTTATGTTAAATTTTCCATTAAAAAATGATCAACCACGGTTGAACCGAGATTCACGTGTCCCAACATCAGAAAAATTGAGGGCGAAATGTCAGTTTTCCTCCTCATCTATTTCTCCAGGTCTCGAGTTATTGGGATCAACTGGTTCTTGACATGGTATCAGAGCCTTCTGTGATCGAGAGGTCTTGTGTTCGATTCTCGGTAACCCCCATTTGTTAAGCACATGGTATTCGGACCTGTGCAAACTTCAAGTCTTTGTGAGTGGCTTTCATTTGAGGGGGCGTGTTAGTGTATGGTATATAATAAACGATTGAACCTCTCCCAACAACTCGAATTATTGGGAGCAACTGGTTCTTGACAATAACCCTCGTAATGTTACGAGTTAAAATATGATTTTGATTTTTAACTATTTTGATTGTCACACACGAGGACGACACTACTTCCAGGATTCTTTAAGGGAGAACACCCTCTACGCATTCTATCACTTGTATCAACACATATATATATACAACAGTGCAAGTATGGAGTTTGCCACATCAGCCATTCGGAAGCCGTCCTTAATTTGAGGAAGGGTTTTAACGTCAATGAACACATCAATGGACACATTAATGTAGCCGCAACAACAAATTAAATGGGCCGCTCAATATGGGCTGCGTGAATGAAAATTTGACACAAACTTATATGCTCATTTTAGTTTATTTAGGCTGGATATATGTGTTGTGGGTTATAAATAAATTTACAACTTGATTTTTACGGTAAAAGTTATATCTTATAAGGCTGTGTTACTCCCGTTTTTCTCACCGAATCAACGTCTAACCAGTAAACCCGATGTGAACATAAGTATTACATACCATTGAATTTTTTATTAAGTTCCTAAAAAATGTGTACTAAATGTAATATATGAAGGATCATACAAACTGAAAAAAATGAGACAACTCAACAATAATATATGTTTGTCAAGTGCAGCAAATGCATAGCTTATCGGTCTCAATGCTGACATTTTGATGCATTAAATATATGACAATCTGTCACTTAAATGTCCTTGCTATACCACATAATTATTATTAAAAGAAAAAACATATATTGGGATACGGGTAGGGCCTAAACCTATTAATCGTTTGGGGAACTCAGAGATCAATTATTCTACGATGGTTGAGCCTTGAGGTGGGACCTAGCTAGACCTTAATACCACTCTATTGATTAGTTGCATTTCTTAATAAAATTGCAGCAAACTAAGTATGTGTTTGCTTCTTAGATTTTCACTTCGCTTATCAATTCAACGTGAAATTATCGATGTTCAACATAGTTGTTGTTATATGCATGGTTGTGTTATATGCTTTCAATATCTTAACCAATACTACTATGAAAACTACAAAACATCACCATAATAGCAACTTATAAGTAATAACTTAGGTTCTATAATTATCTTTACATAAACTCAACTTGATATCAAATTTTTAATGATTTAACATTGCATGAAGTGAAGGGTTATCCCATCACTAATCCTTAAATTAATTATGCAGGTATATAGTTGATAAGCCACCCATGAATTTATGTTCAATATTAGAGAATTAAATAACTTTTGAGTTGGAAATTGACTAAAATGAAGAATCGAGATTACTATATTAGAGTTCACAATCATGAGGCACATGCGCATATTGACGCTTCCATTCATGATTGTCAAACAACGATCATGACTGAGAAATAGAGGCGGAGAGGGTTTGAGAGAGGAGGAAGAAAAATGGAGTATTGGTAAAAAGTATAAGATCGATAATTGTACATCTCCCAATAATTTAATATGATTGATAAGCCAACCATCAATTTATGTTCACCATTAGAGCGTTAAATAACTTTTTGAGTGGTAGAGTAAATGAAGGGAATTTTGAATACAATCCTATAGTAAACTTAAGAGTTGAGATTACTATATTAGAGTTCGTCATGGGCGCACACGCATACTAACGGTATGTCCAGGGTTGTCAAACGACGATCATGAATGAGAAAGAGAGGTGGAGAGGGCCTGAGAGAGAGAAGGGAGAAGAATAGTGTGTTGGTAAATGCTATAAGATCGATAATTGAACAATTCTAAATAACTGAACTTCAACTTATTGAGACTAATTGGTTCTAGACATGGAGAAGAGGAAGAGAGATATGGAGATGGGGAGGAGGAACCGGAAGGGCGTCAAAGAGAGAAATGGAAAGAGTGAATTGAGGGACGGGATTAGGTGGTTGTGAAAATTAGATAAAAAATTAGATAGAACTTTGAACTTGATTATATGTTGAATGAGAACATACAAATTATGCTTAGAAATATAAAGTATACTCCAAATATAAAAATCTTAAATTTCTATCTTACAATATTATTAGAGATGGAAAGTCATCAACCCTATCGATCAATAGTGATATCTACATTGTTGAATTCTCTATCCTTCTCCCATGAGAAAGGGAGCAGCCTAATTGTGCAAGCCATGATGTTTTCAGCAATGGTCATGCCAACTACGGATGGCAATGGGTCGGGTTGGGTCGGGTTTTGCCAAATCCAAATCCAAACTCATGGGTTTATCCGTCAAAAAAACCAGGGATACAACCCAATGGGTTTGGAAAACTCAAACCCAACCCAACCCGCTGGGTACCCATGGATTTTTGTGGTAAAAAATTTACAATGACAAGTTCATATCAAAATAAAAGTCAAACACTAATTTCTCTAAACAAATTGTAAATTAGATTGGGGAAATTAGAATTAGGGTAGACTTTGGAAAGAGTAGGAGAAGAAATAAGTGTGGGCGGGTATCCATGGGTCGGGTATCTCTAAACCCAAACACAACCCAATCCGATGAAAGTGTAACGAGTTTAAACCCAAACCAAGCTCAAAACCTGTCAACATGAATTTTACCCATACTGACCGAATTGGGTTAGGTAGGATACTCATGGGTTCGGGTTTTGTTATAATCCCTAATCACACTAATGCTTCCACTACTACTGCAAATTTTAAAAATATCCAGCAATACAATTAAGAATTCACTTTTTTAAACTCATGAATTGAACTGATGTCTAATTGAATCATCAAACCCGACCAACGGGTCGGGCAAAGCTGCTAGTTTTTCATTGTACACAAGAAAGGTAAAAGATTAAATCACCGTCATCCAGAGTTCTGCAAGAACAATCTGTTTCTCCAACGAGTTAGAAATAGGCTCTTCTGGTTATGTAAGGTTTTACATGGTTGTCCAGTGCTATGCATGGCTCTTCTGACAACTCAAAGCTTGTAATCTAAACCAGAACCATATTTCCAAGCATCCAGGCGCCGGTTCCATACGTACTTGGTCTTGGATGAAGACGAGTCCAATAATGGCCTTGTAGAGGCAAGGGGAAACCAATCAAAAGCATGATTCAATCTAAAACATGGAAGTGACCAAACAAAACGAAGGGACAAAGTTGAAAATATATCAATGTGCTAACCTTATAGCAGGGTCAGCAAAGGTGGAGAGGAAAGTGTAAAGACCAAGCACGATAAAATGGCCTGACCAATCCAGAAGCACAGGCACTCCAACCTGCCAGATAAACAAGATCCATTCCGTCACTGGATTCTGTAATACGACAGTGAAAACAGGTTTCTGATCATTTAAGAAAACAAAGCAGGAAATATTCAGATTTCAAGGATACCTGTTTGAATATTGATGGGATGATTTGAGGTTTGTTTAACATAACAAGCCCTAATGTCTTAGTAAGAGCGCCAAACTGTATAACGTCCTGCAAAGTGGCACCCACATCGAGAGCCAGATGAATAGCAGTTTAATCATAGATGAATAACAGTTTAATCATCTGGTTCGTAAGACTGTAATAGATTAGAAGGGAAACCTGAAGAAATGGTCTTAGAACTGGATCTCCAAGCTTCTGAGAAACAACAACGACATAATGAGAAACACAGAAACTTGCAGGGAGGCATTAAGCAGAAGTGGAAAAGTCATGACTATCTCTCTGACTGTGTAACTGTACCTGCATGCTTTGGAAATTAACATGAAGAAGGTCGTTGACAAATTCTGGATAAACATTTGAGTTTTGCTTGGCTGACATTGCTCTTTGGAATAGCCATGAAGCACTTAAATTTGGCTACCAGACAGAAATCATTTTTAAGTCATCTTAAGTGGGATGTTTGAGCAACACAGCCTAGAAGAACCCAGCAACCAACCCACCATGTAAGGATTTAGCAGCGACAAGCTCTCTGCATCAAGGAAGCCTCCATTGATTGCTTCATATATTCCTGCATTTCCGGCCAATAGGGGATCCCTATATGCTTACACTGTCGGACATTTCACTAACTATTCTATAACTCTTGCAGTCAATGAAGAATATACCAGATGAAAGTCTTCCAAGGTGCCTTGTTAAGCTTCCAAAACCACCGAACGAAACAGGTGACTGTATGCCGCTAGCATCTCCAAACTGTTAAAAGGAACTTTGTTAATTCCGGGTCCAATTTTGATTTGAAATTATTTTGTAAGTATTGGAGATCTTAATATAGACCCACCTGTAGGATGCGGTCAAATGCAGCTGGTAGTGGACTGCAATGTTGATCCTCCCACGTCAAGAACTTAATATGTCAGATATGAGCACCAAAATTTAGCCATCATATTCAGATCAAGAAATTTGAGAAATTTGAGGCTAATGCTTGCGGTTAATAAATACAATTGATTAAAAAATGAAAAGGCAGAAGACCATGGTTGCTCTATTTTATTTGTTTTCTCTACTGCAATCCTATACACACGTTCAATAGTCTTCTCCATTACCTATCTCGGTATGTAGGAAAGATGCCATATATGACTCTTTGAATCTCTACGTTTTCCAAGGAAATTCCCTGCACAGCGTTGCCCATCGATCTAGGAGAATCAGACAAAACTAGAAGAGCTAACACAATCTCAAATGATTGCATGGCCACATACTTCTTCCACACGCACAAACAAAAGAGAGGAACGGAACTGTAATGGCTTCTTGAAGTTCCAAGTATGGACAATTTTTCTCTTAATAGTTTTGGCAAGAGAATTTAGCAAGTAAATGTTCGACATGATATGAAGAGCATAACAGATAACAATGCACCTGATATTTTGGCATCAAGTCCCAGTAACTTTCTAACAGTTCCTCTAGTTTTGGTGATCCTGGTCGTGGTTGAACATAAGTGAACATGTATGTGGTACGGTCCAAAGGACCAGAACCTGCTGGAAATGCCTGGGAAATTGTTAGAGAATGAAGGAAAGTTTTGTATCTTGCATGACTAGAGATTAAACTAAGACTTAGTATACCTCCCAAAATAGTTGAACTTCTGAATCTCCTATCTTTTCAACAGATGAGCTGCTATAGATAACATCGCTCGAGGAATTTTCTCTAAACCCATGAGCACAAGTTCCAACAACAAGACAGACACCATCAGGCTTCCTTCCACTTCTTATCTGGTAACCAAATACAGATGAAGGCACCGAATTTATTCACCACTGCATTTGTCTAAGTAAACCTGCTCAAAACATCAGTATGGTCCTCTCATACTAGGCAATAAAAAAAACTACCTGTTTAACCACAGGTGAAAAGTTCCCCATTGCATCAAGTACGAGTTGGCATGACAAGATTTTACCCCCTGCAAGCTGCAAAGTCTTTACGCAGAAAGTGGCACAAGGGAACATTATTCATCTCACAAAGCATACAACAGAGTGCAACCTCACTTAGCTAACAAGTCATTAAATTGCTCAGTGAGTAAGTGGAAACTTACTGCTATATCTTCATATACTCGTATGCTTGAAACTGCGCAGCTTTCAAAGATGACTCCACCAAGTGAGTTAAAACGGCTCTTCACTATGTCAATGAGTTTTGCAGGTCTGAATACACAGATGAATTTAAAGAAATATATAGCAAATTAGTCAATTACACTATACTTCTCCACTAGGCCATAAAATAACAATCAGAACAAGGTTAAGCAAGAAGATAACGTACGAAACGCCGAGGTTAAGAATGTCTTGAACCCATATTTCACCCTTATCCTCAAATCCACATCTGTTCTGCACAGTAATTATACGATCCCCAAGATAAGAAACAGAATATGGTACCTAATAGGCTCTAGAGCCATCACATAAGTTTTCTGAACTAAGCTACACCAACCAATTTATGAAACTTCCCTTACAGGATTAAATTTTGAAGATGTAGCTTGTTCAATGTCCTCATCTGTCAAAACTCCAACTTCCACAAGCTCCAAGAGCTCTTTCCTCGAGATATTCCATTCTTGTTCTCTCTAGTCATGAAGAAGAACTAATCTTGCTTAAGAGCAGTTCTTCTGTGCCTTAAAAACTAAAAAGAACTCCAAAAGAAATTTACCCCTTGTAGCACATTTCTTTCCACAATGCCAACTCTAAGACCTTTAGCACTCAATGCCGTGGCTATGAAGATCCCCAGAGTTCCCCCACAAACTACCACATCAAATTTCTCCACTTCCTTCCCAGCAAGATCAGAATTACTCAACAAACCCGGATTAGGCACAACTACCTTCTGAGGTTCTTGAGACACTGAAAAGAAGAAACCTTCTCAAACGCTGGGAATTTTGAAAAAAAAAACAATGCGATCAAAATTTTACCTTTACCTGTTTGAGTTGAGCATATATTAGACCAAATTTGATCCAACCTCTTTAGAGCATTATATGAGTAAGCTCCACCAGCACCACCAACTTCACTAGTCACTGATATGCTCTCCATTATCCTCTACATTCAACACCAATTCCATCAAACTCCTTGAGAAGACCAATGGAAGAAATAAAGAAAATCCCCCAAGGCCACGCACTTCCACTGAGACATTTTCACAAACAGGTTACGGAAGTTATAGTGACCATCATCACCTGGGTTCTAGAAGGAACAGCTTGTGCGACCAAAAGCTTACGCCTTTGAGTTCTTCGAACCAAAGGGTTTGTGAGTCTGGGGTGCTGCTGGTAGAGTCCACTGCAGTGGTCGAGCTGAATCACAATCCCCATATTGGGATTACAAGAAGTGAGGGGAAGAAACATAACTGAAGTAGATGCTACTATCTCCTTCGGGCAATTCGCAGCTGCCCAAGTTGCAGGTTTTGTTCATCCATCCATTAACCCAGAATGAAGCAATGATATTCAGCAACTTGCTTCCCCTGAATGTGTATGTGTGTAAGAGAAGTGGACACGTAAAATGAAAGATCAAATCCCAAAACTGACTCTTTTTCATCCATAGTCCATACTCCATACTACTCCCACTGTCCCACATTCCCCGAAAGATCCGTTACCGTTATTATAGACCGTTACAAAGAGCTCGCCAAAATTTAGCTATCAAGTTCTAGTAGGCCGATTACTTCGTCAAAAGAAAAGGAAGAAAATAGGTCTAGGCCCATTAGAAAATCGGGCCCAGGTGGTACGAAGTCTGTGGGTGGACATAGTCTTACTCAGCCTAGTTATTCTGCTAACTTGAAAATTCGTTAGTATATACTAACTAATATCCAAAATGTATGAACTAATATCCAAGTCTGCTGAGTATCTAGATAGCACAGACTAGTATTCTAAACATCACAAACTAGTATCCAGATAGCAGATACCAACTAATATCCACAATCAACCAACTAGTATTCAATATGGATACTATTATGTGTTATCTGGATATTCTTATTGGTTATCTGGATACTAATTATGTGTTGTATTGATACTATTCTGTGTTGTCTAGATATTAGTTTGTGAATTTGGGATAATAGTTGATTCATGGTGGATATCAGTTAGCAAACTTTGAATACTAGTCTGTGTTCTCTAGATACTTTAGTACTTGGATACTAGTTCATGTATTTTGGATATCAGTTAGTATCTGCTAACGAATTTTCAAGTTAGCAAATTAACTTTTCCCAGTCTTCTTGTTGTCCAAGAGATTCGACAATGGTAATTTGATCGGTAGCATAGGGTTCTTTTTTTATAGTAATATCTGTGGCATTTTATTAATGGATCGGTAGCGTAGGTTTCGCAAAGTAATAAAATGGTTACAAATATTCAAAAGTGATAAATAGTTCACATAAGTATCAAGATATAACAAAATAATTATTTCATGTCTTTTTATTTATATTTTCATCCAAAACGTCCAATTAATTTGCTCTTGATAAGGGTCATTTTACAGGTTGTTTAACTTTTTTATTGACTTCGCACTGGGTCAACAAGCAAATCTGTTATTTTGAATAAAAATATGAATAGAAATAGATTAAATGCGTGTTTTGTTATATCTATATGATCTTGTTATTTTGATTAATTACCCCTAATAAGCTACTTGGTGTATCAACTATCGTCTATGGCTACAATTTGTAGTAGAATCACTACGATAAACGTTAATTTATCATTAAAAGACTGACTTATTTGGATGATATAAAAAGGCCAATTTTTGTATTTCAAATGTGTGAAATTATGAATTTGAAATATATATAAAATAATTAGCTCTCGGTCTTCCATTCAAAAAACAATTAAATTTATTGGTTGAATACTCATTTGTAATTTGTTAGTAAGGTCATATATTACAATTTTAAGAAATTATGTTTTTGTACCCAAATTGTTTTTACTAATTTAGTATTTAAACTTAAAAAAAATACAAAGAATTCCTAGAAATTTTGATGGGAAATTGCATTTTATTATCTTTATATTTTTCTCGAAATATAGAATGAGAACTTTTAAAATTTTACCAGCAGCTCCAATTTGTTGCTATGACCAATTTCAAATCATAAGTTATTGACATGTATTTGAAATTCACAAGGGATTCAGTAGCTATATATTTGAGAATTATACCATGAATTTGGGACAAATCCAAATATCATATATAAATGGTACCCAAACAAATGATTTAGTATTGAAATTTCAAATCCCGAATGCAAATCCTTCTATCCAAACGCACTCTAACGCAAGTTTTCAAATATCTCCTACCCGAGTAATTGATATTTATAATTTTGATGCAACTTAAATTAATAAAATAAAATAAAAATATTTCTTAAAGTGCATACATTCATGAATTTCAACCTCCAAGTCATCCAACCAGTTTATGTAGTGGACGTATGATAAAGAGATAAAAACTTAATAGACCATTTTTTAACAACTCGAGTTATTGAGACTAACTGGTATGTTTGTTAGTATGGTACTATACCCTTCAATTGAGAGTTCGTTGTTTGGAATCCTTATGACGTCTCATAGTATAAACAATGATTTAGTACAAAGGATGATATGTCCAACTTGTAAAAACTAGAAGTATAATAGCTTAGCACAAGGATGATATGTTCAACCCGCAAACTGAAACCCACAAATAAACTTTTGTTTAAGGAGGCTTGTAAGAGATTAAAAAAATTATAGGTAATGTCTATTTTTTATCCAAACCTTTCTCAGATTCTTTTAAATTATCCAAACCTATTAAAATTCTATTAATTAGCCAAATCTTTCATAATGCACCAAAATATTAGCCATTTTTACGTTATCATTAATAATTTTTGGGTAATGTCTATTTTTTTATCCCACCATTTTTTAGATTCTTTTATATTATCCAAACCTATCGAAATACTAAGAATTAGCCAAATGTTAACTTTCAGCTAGCAATTGTGTTAGTAATATTGAAATGACAATATGAAACTGACTTGGAAGAGACACATGAAGGTCAACATTCCAAAATTTTCGTATTTTAACAAAAAAAGAGTTACAAAACTATTAACGATAACGTAAAAATGGCTAATATTTTGATACATTATGAAAGATTTGGCTAATTAATAGCATTTTGATAGGTTTGGATAATATAAAAGAATCCGGAAAAGGTTTGTATAAAAAATAGACATTACCCATAATTTTATAACACTTTTCTTAGTTAAAATACTAAAATTTGGGAATGTTAACATTTGGCTAATTCTTAGTCTCTATGTTTGGCCTGGCCTTTTCAACTTCAAAAGCTTAAGCAGGGCCAAACACCTCTAAAAACTCGGCTTTTAAATAGCAGAAAAGCACCTTTGTATAACATAAAAATAGAAGCTCCAATTTGGAACTTCTGCAAAAAACTATTTTGAAAATACAAGATTATCCTTACATATTTTAATTTATTTAAGAAAATATAATTTTCTTTCATTTATACCAATTTAAAACTAAAATAAATTATAAAATCATATTATTTAATATAAAAAAATCTAACAAGATCCATTTTGGCTACTTTTTTCTGTTTAGATTTTTTTTATTCATAGTTTATATTAGGGCTAATACCACTAAAAATATCAACCTTTAGCGACTTTGCCAATTTATATTACAAAACTATTGATATGACATTTGTATACCAAATTGTATTTTCTGTTAGTTTAACTGTTATATTTAACTTGGAGACTAATCAATGTCTATTCATTGCCTACCTGTCACGCTGACGTGGAAATTATAACCTGCCTATCTGATTTTTGCATTTAATTAGAAGAAAAAGATAAAGAAAATGATAAAAGTAAAATAGAAAAGGGAAAATTATTCACCTGCCTCTTCGTCACTCTCGAAGAGAACAAAAGAACCTTATTCCTCTCCATATTTATCCCATCTCCACCCAAGCTTGACGGAAGAGTATCAACGCTGCCGGAGACTTGCTTTATCTGCAAATGGAACGCTATTAATAACAGAAGACAGAGGGCCATTGTTTAGAAAATATTTATTTAAAAATAAATTAATAATATTAATTTTTCAGAAAATTAAATTAATATTTTTAAAATATTAATTTCCTACATGGCACCTATGTGGACAACACCTAAGAACCACATAAGCAATAGTCAAATGTAAGTTGACCACCGTCAGGTCAACCGTCAATTCTAACGGTCAACAGAAATTCGCGTAACACAAATGACGCAAACCTCTAATACATTGGAATATTTTTGTGTTTATTGAAAGTACGTAATATAAATGACATTTTCGCTAAAGAATGATATTTCCAATGGTATTAGCCCTTTATAGCCATTTTACACAACCTCTCATATTAAAAAGCACATCTATTAGTTTTTCAGCCAAACACTCAACTGCTTTTTTTGAAAAGTACTTTTCTAAAAGATCAAGTCAGAAGCTGCTTTTGCAAAAACTACAGCAGGACCAAACTAGTCCACTGTATGTCGATAGGTTTGGATAATATAAAAAAATCTGAAAATTTTTTTGATAAAAAATAAACATTATCTAAAATTTAACAGACTATTTTTCCATCAACTCGAGTTATGGGAACTAAATTTTTTTTTCTCTAACAACTTCAATTGCCATTTTTTCTCTAAAGTCTAAACAAAAGAAAATTTCACCAATGGCGAAGAAACATTTTTTTTTTCGTTTTTATTGTTTCTTATTATTCGTTTGGTTACTGCAGTAACCAAGAAATTCATTCGACATGAGACAAAAGAATATTACCCGGGCTCAAGATAGGGTGCATAACCCATGGTTATGCACCCATCAATAACCAAATCTGGACCCTTCATTTAGAAAATCCAGATCTAAGGATGGAGAATTAAAGGCTATTTTTATTTTCACTAGCTTTCTTAATTGACTCATATCTTTTTCGTTTTAACTCGGATTTTAATTTTTTTTGCACAGATGGAACGAGTTCACCGTGCTCTACAAAGTGAGATCAATTTTAAAAAAATTTTGAGGAAAAAAATATTATGGCCTCTCGGTACCAACTGCATACCATATGGTATCTTCTTCGTTTTTAATTCGTTTTTGAAAACGTTTGCACAGCAGGGACGAGTTCATCATGATCTACTGGATCTACAAATTTCTGGGTGAACAAATTACAGGACCAAAAAATACCACACAATACCATACAATACCACCCATACAATACCACCCTGGTAAGGGGTGGTATTGTATGGTATCTTCTTCGTTTTTAATTCGTTTTTGAAAAAGTTTGCACAGAAGGGACGAGTTCATCATGATCTATTGGATCTACAAATTTCTGGGTGAACAAATTACAGGACCAAAAAATACCACACAATACCATACAATACCACCCTGGTACGGGGTGGTATTGTGTGGTATACAATGTTAAAAGTCGTAAATTACAATTAATATACTTCGACTATCATGTATTCAACCATCCTACAGTATTGGTTTGTTCATACCACCATGGTACGTTTTTCAAAACATAGGTGTGCTTTTATTTCAATACCAGTCAATACCATATGGTATAGGCTGGTAAAAAATGGCTCAATTTTTTTTGTTCAAAAAATATATTAAAGTGGATATCATTTTGAAGAGCACAATTAATCTGATCTAACTGTGCAAAAAAATTAAATTTCGACTTAAAATGAGCGAGAAATCGTCTGTCAAAGATTAAAGAGGGAAAAATTAAAGGCTTTCTATGAAAGAGAGGATGCTGATGTCATGCTGATGTGGACGGGTTACTCATGGTTACTCACCATAAGGTTACTGACCTGATCCATTCCCTATTCCTTAACATATCAACCATCGATTATCACAAAATTGTCACACTTAACCGCACACACATTGTGCAGCACATTTTGACAACGTCGCCCATCTCCCCTGCCTACAAAACCCAAACTCCATTCACGATTCATCAAGCTCCACAACACCAAGAAGGCAAGAACCACACAGAGGCCTTTCTCATTTTCCTGTGAATCAATCCAAATATCCAATCATGTCGGAGAACGAGTTGGTGATCTTGGACTGCTGGGCCAGCCCATTCTGCATGAGGGTGAAGATTGCCTTGGCGGAGAAGGGACTTGACTACGAAGCAAGGCCTGAAGATCTCTTCGGAGGGAAGAGTGACCTCTTGCTCACTTCCAACCCCATCTACAAGAAGGTCCCCGTTTTCTTGCACGACGGCAAGCCTCTCTGTGAGTCATCCGTCATCGTTAGCTACATCGACGAGACGTGGCCTGCCCCTGCCCTGCTCCCGTCGACCCCTTACGAACGTTCTCAAGCACGCTTCTGGGTTGACTACATTGATAAGAAGGTACTCCCCATTAACTCGATGCAGTTGTTCGATTCCTCTGCTGCCATCTGGAAGGCATCGGGGGACGATGCCATGGAGGGAGCCAAAAAGGAGTTCGTCGAGGTGCTGAAGGTGTTGGAAGGAGCCCTAGGGGAGAAAGAGTACTTTGCTGGGGATGCATTTGGGTACGTTGATATCCTTGCAATCCCAATCACTTGCTGGTTCTTGGCAAGTGAGAGGTTTGGGAACCTCAAGGTTGAGGCTGAGAGCCCTAAGCTGTCAGCTTGGATCAAGAGGTGCATGGAGAAGGAGACTGTTGCCAAGGTTGTCCCTGACCCAGAAAAGATCTATGAGTTTGTTATCAACTTGAGGAAGATGTTCGGAATTGCCTAGAGAGGGAGAGAGATCAGAGAGGCTCTAAAGTGACAGTTTGAAATCTCCAATTTTTTCTTGCTTTCCAATAAAGATCTGTATAATCAGTCTATGGTGGAGTGAAAGTTAAACAGCAAAGATTATACTTCAACTGAGAGATGAAACTTGAAATACAAGTTCTGCAAATTATATTCCTTTCTTACTATCTCATTGTAGAGACATAATAATTTGCTAAGGAAAGTGAATGTCATGTGTTGATCATTGGATTCTATAGTAAATTGAGCAGGTAATTTGTTGTACAACAGCTGCATTTGTTACATGCACATATCTTCTACCAAAATTCGAAATATTTAATGTTCCGTTTCATGAAGATCCTGAAACTATGAAGCTAGCACAGCATGAGATTCCAGTTTCGCCCTAACCTCGTCCAGACAAGTTTGAAGATCCTGGAATTCTTGTGTGTCTGAGAAGCTCGCTGCCTGAGGAGTTGGGAGAAAAGAAAACATTTATGTTAGTGGTCTTTCTTTTCCTTGGGAACCAAGAAAAATGGACTCCATGATCTCAGCTTACTTGTCTAATCGTGTTTCTCAAGTGCATCTCAGCTGTTGATAACTCACGACGGCTATTTGTAGAGGAAGAAATCTCCATGTAAACGTTGCATAGTTCCAATGAAGCATGAGCAAACTTCTTGAATCGATCGCCGTCTTTCCATAGATCGGACCCCTGAGGAAAGAACATCAACTATAATGAAAAAGGCCTACCAAGCAATGACCATTGAAGCATACAAAATCATGGGTGTGTGCTCGTTTCGTCTAAAATTTAAGTTTCTAAAACTTGAGTTGAAAGAAAACTCAAAACAACTTTTCATATAAATGCATTTATATAAATTTCAGAACTCATTATAGTGATCATCTCCCGGAACCAACTCAATTTTTATTACTAAGCAAATTATCTATCTCATCCTATTAACTCCACTTTGTCTCAGATAGTAAAACTATATGGAACACCTTCGTTCTTAAATTTCCTCAAACTTTAGAAAAAAAGTCTCTAAAAACTACCAAACAAATGTTCCTCGGAATAGTTCAGTCCTAACTCCTAATGAACTGAAAGCAAACAACATATTGATGTACCTGATATGCTCTGATTTGCTTCAAGAAGGCTTCAGAGCACATAGTAAGATCTCCTTTGATTTTATGCCACCTGGCATACAATCCCCAAATCTCTGCTCTGCTCACGTTTTTCACTATCTGGATCACAAGGAGAGACCAGTAGAATTGATTAAGTCTACAAAGGATAAAAAAGCACAACATACATCAACTGCTACAAGTTAGGGTTCCTCCAGATGCTACCTTCTGCAGAATTTTCCCCAGCAGTTCCAGCAACTGCAAAGTTTCCCTGGACTTTCCTTCTGCTTCTGAGCTGCAAACTGAGTTGCCACTTTGACTAGTGAGCTCGTTATCTTCACTAGATAAAGGCCTCTTTGAAGTTCTCCTTTCCATTTCTTCCATAATCCGATCCAATAACTCGACGTCAATTCTTTTACAGCTAGTAATATCTGCAACTCTCTGTACAGCTTCCAAAGCCTGCAACCCAAATCATTTATTGTATTCACATCTGACAATTTCGCACAATCTAGATCAATGTTGTTTTATAAAAGTACCTTCCAGATGTTATCCACATCCATGGCTACATGACCATAGTTTTCCCACATTTGCCAGCTGTTACGACTGTCATGAATGAAAATCATGTTAGTACCGCCATCATAACCCAAACTTCAAATGCTTGCATTTGTTTGTCTTGCAAGATGTAAAGCCTGAAACAGAATCAACAAAGGAGAAGGAAGCAGCGTACTTGAACTTCAATGCTTCGTTGAATGCAATGAAGGATTCTTTGCTCTTCTTCTTGATCATATGCCTGCATTGACAATTAAGGTTGTTTCATAAACCACCTTTTACATCGCATACAAACAGCTCAATTCTGGTTTTACCATTTACCAATCAATTCCCTACTAAACCTCTTAAAACCATGAACCTATTAACAAAAGAACCAGGCAGGGGAGGGAAATAGCAAGCTTAGACCGAGTCATTAACAAAAAAACAAAAAAAATGAAAGATGACTTACAAACAAGCAATATTGTTCCAAGCCTCCCCATTATCGGGATCCAGTTGAACGGCTCTTGTAAACCCATCCACAGCCTTGTCGACATCTCTAGCCTGTATCATCATTTAACGAAAGACTAATAAAAAAACTGTATTTCCAAACAAGATAGAAGAAAATGACATTAGAGCAACAGTGCAAGTGATTAATGAATGACCACAGCGCACAAGCTACCTTCAATGCAGCAGCACCAAGAGCAAACCAACCATCTGGATATAAAGAATTCAAAGCCATTGCGGATTCCCTGGGATGGTGACAAATACAATTGGTTGCCTCTAAATTAGTTAAAGAGCTAGAAGAAAATCATAGATGAGTAGTAACAAAATGGGTATAGCTACAATACCAAAGCATTTTGGATTTCTCATACTCCCCTCTGTTATACGCGCTTCGAGCTAGAGCACGCTACAGAAAAAAAAAAAATAGAACAGCCATGTCAAATGAAGTTACCAACTTGTTTCATAAACCGAAAGAACTCATTCTGAACAATGATACTAACCTTGGCTCTAGTTGACCTATCATTTGAAACCTCAAGAGCCTTCTCATAGAAGCTATCATCGTTTGTTACATCACCCAAGGAACACCTAGCAAAAGAAAGTATTGCATTTAATGGAACAAGCTTTCGTATGGTTTGCACAGTAAGTGAATGTATTGACCAGCTTTCTACTATATCTATAGCTGAAGTTGCACAAGCTCTGTCAGAATAACATGTGAGGCAAAGGTCAACATAGCAACAGCAAATAAACTCAAACAATAGGCATTACAAAGAAATGTACACAATTTAGACAATCAAAATCCTCTTAAGCTATAAAAGTTACCATAAATATTCATTCTGACATGGATTTCAAGATTTAAACTCCTTTTCAGACTTTTTGGTTCAAACACTTAAAGAGAAGAAATAGAGTATGTCAAGCTTTTCACAATGTCCCATCTCGGATTTCCATCGTACCCTGATAAGTGAATATTCATATCAACATCTTTGGAAGAATTCAGCTGATCTCATGATATTTTACTAATAAGACAGCAACCAAAATCATAACTTCGAATAAAAGCAATGCCTTTCAAGTATAATTGACAAATTACTTTGTCTTGTATATAAAAGGATCTTCACATCCCATTACATGACTTGCTGCAATTCACTAAATATGTGACAACAGCGTAAAATTTAGAAGTAACTAGGTTGGAAGAAACGTAAAATCCAGAAGTAAATAATTTGATTGAAATTTAGAACTTACCATAACCTTGGGTCTTTAGGCATTTCAGACAGTCGCATCTTAATGAGTTCAACAGCAGCTGCTTTCTTTCCCAGTAAGCTGTTTTTGGTGTCATAACTCAAATGAGACTCAGAATTGATCAAATAATGGGAAAAGGTAAAACATCCGTCATCATCTTACCGGTTGCAATATATCAGGCTGTCCCATAACTCCAAATCCTCAAAAATTCTAAGAGCTTCCCCTATCAAGCCACAGCTCACAAGGAGTTCACCATATTCCCTAAACAGTTACATATTAGACTCAGAAAGGTCTCCACATAATATAATATCATCCAAAGACATAATGTGACTCACTTTTTCAGAGCTGGAATGGTAGGGATATTAGCTACATAGCAAAATGGAATCCTTTGTGCCACTCCAGGAAAAGGCTTTTCAAGATTCTCAGCCTGAAATATGAATTGGCGGCTGTAAAATGGGCTTCCAACGAACTTGATTCAAAGGAAAAGACACGATTCAAACTTGAAATGTTAAGTTTATAAATTAACTGAAAGCAATGAGTTAATTGCATGTCTTACCAGCTTTCCCATCATTTCTATTGCACGAACTTTTGTGTGACTACGAGTTGACTCCCAACGGACACGCAAGAGGTCACAAAAATATTGCAGCTAGATTAAGATAAACAAGAAGACAGTAAGATTGAGGATATATGACAATCCAAGCAAACAAAGACCATAAAATCATAAGGAATGCATGAGAAAGTTCTGCAACAGTTGATTAACAGTGTAAGTAGTTAAGCTATGGCTTCCTTATACTGTTCTATCCAAAAAAACACTGATTCCTGCTCACTTACAGCAAACAGTGATGAAGGCTGAGAATCAATTGCCTCGATGTATGGAGCAACATCCCAATCTGAAACCAGAAATGAGGATGTAAATAACCAAAACATGGAGACATTGCAATTACCATGAGCAGAAAACATTTCTATTTTAGGATCTATCAGGCTTCAGCTCAGGAGCTCCTTTTTCATTCAAAAGCAACTTACTTTGCAATTCGTCTTGCCGAGAACCTTGCTGAATTATAATACAGTGGGCCAGGATCACTGCTTGTTGGGTTGAATTTAAAAGGGCAGCACCTCCAAGACCACCAACCTCCACCAATTTTGGTTTCTTAAGTATGTCGCATGATTCAGAAGGTTCATTTTTCAATGGATCCAAACTGTCTTTGGCAATTTCAAATTGTGAATCAGTCCCACCATTGCTTAATCTGTCTGAAACAAGCACTTTTTGAGCCTTGGGTTCTACTTGATGAACAGTACGATATCCAAGAACTCCAGTAACAGATAGCTGAAGCCCTGCCGCAACTTCAGCTGAACCGATATGGCTTCTGACAGTTCCAAGAATACCCCCAAAAGAAAAAAGATATAGTAAGAATGACTTGTGAAAATAAAAAAGGAGGTGGAGGAGGTGCCTATTCAACCAACAGTAAGTTTCATACCTTCCTGAATCGACACGTCCATAGAGCTGCTGCATTATGCCAGCCTCCAAGTGGGCAATTGAGACGACAGTAGAAGCTTCTTCATCAAGTAACTTATCACTCCAATAATTTATTACATTTTCCACAATGCCAAAATGGTCCAGAGTCTCACCCACATACAGTTGCAACAGATCAAAAAGCAAAGAAGACGGCTCGCTCAAAATTCTTTGGTTGGTAAGTAACACCCTAGAGAGCCACCACGAAATGCTTCTGATCCCAAATGTAGAAGAAACGCTTCCTTCAAATAACAAATCTTTCGTCCTCATGACCAAGATTTTAGCAAAAACTATATACTACAGAACAAAAGAAATTTTGATAAGGGTAAACATGATAGCTGCGATCAAGAACAAACACAAACGATTCAATACTAGCTACCTTTTCATTGCAATTTCAGCTTCCAAACATGAATATCTACGTCTAGATTATCACCACATGAAGCTGAATTTACTATGGTGCCAATTCAAAGCTAAACAAGTTGCATTTTCAAATGGATTAGAAACCAGTACCTGAAGATTAGAGAACTTGCCAAGCAAGTCTGCACCCTCAGACATAAGCTGATTACGTGCCCACGCTTCCCAGTCGATCTCCTCTTCACCTTCTGTAAATTTAATTGGCAGAGGAGATACCTCATCCAATGGTCTGCATATCATTCCACCGGGACATAAGAAATCAAAATAAAAGCAAAACAAATTCCTTCATTACTCTAACCAGCCTCCAATATGAACTCGATTTCTCGACAATTAGAAGCCTTGCTACATAATTCAATCCTCTTAGAGATAGAAGTTGCGAATTATGTCTGATTTAAAGAAAAGAAATACCCGGTAATGTTGGATTGAGTGAAGTAGAAAAGCGCGGCAACGCCAATAGACAAAACGAGGAACGCTCTGCAGGCAACTTCTTGAACATCGTTACTATCAGTTCCATTCATTACAAACCGCTCAACGTTTGCCCGCAACTCAGAGCAAACTCGGTCGTCGGAGTCATTTCCGTTCTCACCGGTAAACCCAAAGGAGAAGAGCTCCGCAGCGATATCTATGAAAAGAGCTTGGAGATAGTTCCCGTTCTCGATAAAGCTGAGAACTTGATTGATGTGTTCGTGTAGCTTTGTAGCAAGCAGAGGAACGTCGGAAGATGGAGAAGACTGGGGTTGAGATTGAGCAGAGTAAGTGCAGCGAAGGAGACGAAGCTCGTAGCCACGAAGAATCTCCCGCCTGGGGTCATGCAGTTCAGGGATACCGGCTTCCGCCATTGATGGGTTTGTAGAAAGTTGCAAACTTTAGAGCGAGACCTTTCTCGACTCTGGTATAATAGGGTTTTAGAGAGGATTTATTAATTTACAGTACTGTTGTAATTTTTGTACGAGACTCTTTATACCAATGCTGTCAAAGCCGAGCCGGAGTATGACCCGGTAACGTGAACGGCTTGGTCATTAGCGGTCCAGCCGACATTAAACCGTTTAAAAACCGTTTGAGAACCAGTACCTAATAAACAGTCATCTGTAATAGTAGACACTTCTTAATCATGGTAAACCACAAGTAAATTACTCTCTTAAGCCATTCTAAACCATTCTAGGAGGCACCCTAGGGATTAGGTAAAGCTCACATGAGTCGGTTGACAATCTAACTTGTTTGGTCGATCTTTAGTGGTTGCTGCTAGGAAATTGTTTCCTCTTCTTTTTGGCTTTGTTTGTTAATTTGTTTCCTTCATTTCAGTTCATTCTGATATCTCTTTGCTGGATTTTGCAAACTAATTACAGCTTTGAGAAAGCTTTTCTTCGAATTCCTTTCTCGATCTCTTCAGTTTTTTCTTCGAATTGGATTTTGCAAACTAATTACAGCTTTGATATCTCTTTCTCTTTTTACTGGTTGAGCCACATAAGCATTAATCCATTCGAGCAGGGCAGTTTTTGATAGAAAACTTACCTCGAGCAGGAGGTGAGTCGGCTGTTCTTTGCGGCGGTGAGCAGGGCAGTCTTCACAACCGTTCTTTGCGGCGGCGATTGCTGCTTGCGAGGGCGACTGGCGACGATGGCGACTGGCGAGGGCGACTGCTGCTTGCGAGAAGCGACGATGGCGACTGGCGAGGGCGACTGGCGATGGCTCTCTGCTTGCGGCGGCGAGCTGCTTGCGGCGACGGGACGGAAGCGCTGGCGATGGTTGACGGCGCCGCTCTCCCTCTGTCGTTTTGTTTGTTCAGGTCGAAGAACTGGAGAAAGAAAAGGAAAGGTAGGGTTTTCAGTTTTGTTTGGCTGGCGGCTGCCAATTCCATTTTTTTTTAGGGTTAATTAAACGGCCGAACCGAGCGACCGGCTCGAGCGGTTAACCGCTTCGGCCGCTCGCCGGCCGCTGTATTAAACCGTGGCGGTTAAATAGCTGATCCGAGCCGATTTTGCGGCCGGGTGGCGGCTTTGGCGGTCCGACCGGCCGGCTCGGTTCGGCTTTGACAGCACTGCTTTATACTTCTTTTTCAATTCTACTTTTGAATTGGAGAAACACGATGCCAGTGTAAAACCAACCTAGACTACCTTGCTGATTTAGGTTAGATCATTACATTCTTTTTGTATGCCAATTTGGTCCTAGAATTTGTTTTTCCTTTCAACGAGAAGAAATGTTGAGATTGTATTTAATGAAGTACAAGCAAAAAACTTGTCAGTAATGCACTAAAATGAGTTCAGGCATGGATGACAATACAACCAGGAGAAAGGGTTCCTCAAACACTCAACTTGATAGTTTCAACCAACTTTTCTATTGGCTTTGTTGAACATAGTAAATCGAGGTCCCATTAGAAATGTATAGATTGTTCGATCTTCTAGCAAGTCAAGCATAACATTAAATAATAACACAAATAGGTCCGATTAGAGATGTATAGATTATTCGTTCTTCTAGCAAATCAAGCATAACATTAGATTTTTTTTTAAGCATAACATTAGATGATAACACGAATTCCTGAATCTTCAGCACACTCGATGGATTGTACAGCTTTCCCTGAACCCTTTGCCATGGTTACTCAGTCAATGGAACCTCTGAGCCCTACTCTGTCTCTATTAATGAAACCCCTGGGCGAGAAGCAAAGTGTAGACATTTATCCAAAATTGAGCTACCTTGACTTTCTCAAATAACAAATAGGTGTTGTTCCCGAAAGAAATTCCCCTGTATAGGCTTCAGAATTTGAGCATATAAATCTCCATCTAGAAAGATAAGGTGAGTATAAAGCTACTAAGTTTTGGCTTAGAACCACTCTCATTAGTCATTATTCACAGTGATATCCGTCAAGCTCGTCCAAGATTTCCTCCTCTTCTTCCTCGAACCACCAGCATTCGTCTCAGGATCTGTTGATGCTGCAGCAGCAGCAGAACCACTTTCAGATTCTTCTGGTTTCTTCTTACTTTTTGATCTATTCCTTTTCTTCGTCAAAGCCTCCAACAATGGTATCGGACCAGCACTTGTGTCTAATGGAGTTCTTGGGCTGCCTGCTGCCATGGGCGAGTCCTCTGGTATTGCAGCCAGTGCTACGTCATCAACTTTCATTGCCTCACTAACCTTCTTCCCGCTTGTGGTGGCTTCCTTAACAGGGGTGATAGGGTTGATGGCGGAAGCATCTGGTTTGTTCGAACGAGGATTTGGCTTGGGCGTTGGTGGGCATATTGATTTCACATGGCCCTTTGAAGTCCCTCGCTTTTGGTTCCTGAAAGAACAGAAATGGCATGTATAGATGACATAGTTCTGCGGTGGAGTGTGGTTTATTTTGCTCTTGCCTCCACGCTTTGCTGCCTTTTGTCGATTCTTCTCGATCCGGATTGTGCAGTTGAAGCCAGGCTGAAGAATTGTCTCGCATCTGTTGTGAAACAAGAGAAAGAGTATAACTGTGTCAGCTGTCATGGATTTGACATATGGCAATACAGCCGGAATATGACATATGGTTTATTTTGCTCTTGCCTCCACGCTTTGCTGCCTACCATGTAATGCTTAAACACCCTAGAGTTTTCTAGAGGCTGAATTCACTGATCCATACAAGCAAATAAACCTCTGCTTTTCTGGACATGCTCAAACACTTGAGAAGATATCTTATTTGAGTCTGTTCTGAACATATAGAGAACAAAGAAAACTTCGCCCCGCAGCTATAAATGGTTTCAGAGAACGATCAAATTCAGACTGCAATGCCCCAAGTTCTGAAAATAGCAGCTTCAACAGCATTCTAGGGAATCATATGACAAGAAAAGCACAAACCTTTGGCATGGGAACAAAGACGGGTCAGGTGGGGCGCCGAGAGCTTCTGCCGCTGTGGCGAACTGGCGACCAAAGAAAGCGCCGAGAGAAGGGATTGAAGCTTCTGCTCCAGCCCATAGCGCAAGCCTTTGAAGGTGGTCGAGTTTCAGCATCGCCTTGGAATTACGAGGTGGGCCCTTGTCCTGCGACCTTCCGAAAGGCGCGGTAGTTTGTGGCGGATTTGTCGATTTTTTTTTCTTCGCCATCCTCAGGGTTGTGTTCCTGGCCCGAGCGTTATTTTTTCAGTGGGGAATTTCGACGAACAGGTTATGGGCGAAGGAAGCTGCCGGGCTGAGGGAAGCCAAAGGGAGCAGTAATGAAGAATAGGGGGACTAGGTTATGGGCGTCGGCAGAATGGTAGTCGGTGGAGGACGGATGGTCGATGTTGATCAGTGAACTGCTGCTCTGGTGGACTGAGAAGAAAGGGGATGAAGATTGAAGACGATGCGAAGAGTGAGGGCGATTAGGGTTCCGCGTTCTGGCCGATTTTTAATTTTCGCGCTAACTAAAAAACGATGCCGTTTGGTAGCGGCTGAGTGCGAATAGGATTCTATCTGCCCACTTCACTCTCACTGTAAGGCGTAAGCTAAAAGCGGATAAACCTCATTTTGCAACTTCTACAGAGGTTTTAGCATTAGAAAAAGCCTGCGAGAACAAAGCTCTCTTCTTTGGCGCTGGCCTCTGCAACTCGGCTAGGTACGAACTTTGAATCCCTCTCATGATTCCATCTCTTCGTCAATCTAATGTTTTGCGTTCAAAAAAGAACTTCTGAGTTCCAACAATTTTCAACTTATTATCCGAATTCGCGTTCCCTCAATGAAAACAATCTCACGGTTCGTTAGCTCTGAATCAATTAGTGCGACCTTCTAGCCTGATTTGATTTCGAAACCCTTCATCTCTAGTGTGTTCACCATTCGCTTTATGTCTTGGGTACAAAGCTGGAATTGTTGATCTCTTTATTCTGTGCATAAATTAGCTAATTTTGCCGCAGGTGACCTGCCCTGAGAACAGCTGTCAAAGAAAATGGCCATGGCAAGTTTAACAGCTTCCCCACACACTGCCTTGTTATTATCACCCACCGGAAGCAATGCCAAGAACCAGGGTTGTACAAAGAACCGACGCCTCAGCATAAGAGCAGTCCACCCAGTGAAGTCACTGGAGGAGCTCTACCAAGTGAAGGTAGAAAGGAAGGTGTCACCACAGCGACTGGCTGAGCTCAGTGTATCAAGGTGGTCGATGTGGAAGACCGGGAAATGCAGACTGCCGTGGGACTGGCAGGTAGACCAGCTGGTCTACATAGAAGAAGGGGAAGTGAGAGTTGTGCCAGAAGGAAGCAAAGGGTACATGCAGTTTGTGGCTGGTGACCTCGTTCGTTATCCGAAGTGGTTTGAGGCTGATCTCTGGTTCAATGGTCCTTACCAGGAGCGGTACAGCTTTCGCGCTTATGGTGATGATGACTGCTAGGCAGGCAGTAATAGCCTTGTTCGTTGAAGTGGTTCGAAGCTGATCTCTGGTTCAATGGTCCTTACCAGGAGCGTACAGCTTTCGCGCTTATGGTGATGATGACTGCTAGGCAGGCAATATGGTGCAACAGAAGTATTGGAGGTTTGTAGTGTTGGAAGAAGTGATGCTTGGAGTAGGGCATCAATCTGTGGAGCAAAGCGTTTGTTGTAAAATAGTTCATAGTGGTGTGTCTCTGAATGTGTAATTCATGATAGGCACTCTTTGAACCTTAATGCAATCTTTTGCTCTAGCACTACTGGTCTAGGGTTCTTGTATGAGAGGGCAAATATAAAGTAGCAAACTTCATTGGAATCTGAATTCTGAAAAGCTGCTGAATATTGTGGGATCAATATGGAAAAATCAGTGAATCCACGGGACTACAGTCATAGACCATATGAATTGAACCATAATGGAACATGAACGGAATAATGAATGAACATCTGTGGCACCTGGCAAGGAGGAAAAGGAACATACACATTGAACATCTCATCAGGCAAATACCCTGCAGCAGCATAAGGCATTTAGAATGTCTCTCAGAAGTATAAACAAATGGAGGGAATGGATTATGGGAAACAATCTTTCTTTGTGTTAATACAGGAGAAATAAAAATATTATCAGGTAGAAATCCCAAATAAACGCTACCTTCTATCATCAAATCCCATATAATACACACTTCACCGAGACTGAACCCTATCTATCACAAGGAAACCATGGCTGTTTTCTTTATCACCCGGGCAACATGGTTTTATACACTGAGAAGCTCGAGGGAAAGTGAGACCAGGAAAAAAGATTTCGATCATTGGCAAACCAATAAGGCCACCACAACCTCTCATCAAAGGATCCAAAAGAGTCTTCAACTTTGCAGTTGCTTGCTGTTGTTCCTCAACTGCCACTCGACCCCCGTGGACTCGTTCCGCTTGGAATGGCGACCGAGGTGGCGAACCTCGAGACGAGCACAGCTGCAGTCGTCACAGATTTGGCGGCAGCAGTGTCTTCCAACTTCTTCCAGATGACTCGTCGCTTCTCTTGCGCTTCTCTCTCCTTGGCTTCATCTTCTTGGAATTTTGTCAGGCATTCCTCAAAGAATTCTGGGTCAGAGTCCGAGAATATCTTTCGTACATTTAGTGTCAGGCTCTGTACAGCTTGGTTCCAGTGGCCCCTTGTGTTGTTTTCCAGTGCTGGGAAGATTAAGGGCAGTATCACTTTCTGGTTCTGAGTGATTAGATTTCTTATGTGATCATTGTTCCATAAAAACAACGCTCGTTCAGCCACCTGTCAGAAAAATGTATCAGGTTACTTATGCACAATATCTAGAAATGTCATGAACCAGAGACATAGAAAGTAAACTGTTATATTCGTTACTTAAGCACCACAGCATCTATAGAACAATGACAATAAACCATGCATAAAACAGCATTTCATTGCTAGAAGACTTGCGGTTCAGTGAAGTTTAAGAAATCAAGTGAATTTTGTAGATGTAATTGTGTAAGAATGAGTGCAATGTCAGAATACAATATTGAATTTGTAGGGACTGTAATGTTGGACATACAGATTTATTATTGAAGTTCAGAATACATAATAACATGTATTCAGGAAATAAGTGTGGGCTGAAATAGATGGTGTTTTTCAAACAAGATTCATACAAGAAAAATGATGAATTGTCATAACCACCCACTCCATCATAGTCATAGGAAATAATCCCTGGCCAAAGGCCCCTTAACAGTAAGAGACAACTATAAAATCAAGAGCGCAATGTTTATGCTGAAAGAAAGAAGTTACAAAGTTGACTAGCAAGCCATCTAGAATCCTGACTATAATCAGTAGCAACATTAATCTTCCCAGCACTGGAAAACAACACAAGGGGCCACTGGAACCAAGCTGTACAGAGCCTGACACTAAATGTACGAAAGAATCAGTAGCAAACTTGACTAGCAAGCCATCTAGAATCCTGACTATAATCAGTAGCAACATGGAACCCACTTCAAGTGCAAAACAACAACCCCCCCCCCCCCCCCCCCCCACCCCACCCCAAATAAAAAAGGTCACTAGGAAAATTCAGCCTCACCTACTAGATCGAAATATATCCAGACTAAGAAAGCCGATATGTATACTAGCTAGAGCAGTCCAGGATACAGAACAACTTCAAGAGTATTGGACCTAAACAAATAGCAATAAGAATTCATACAATAACCACAGCTGCTGATCCAGATATATCTACAAGCTGAAACAGACACCTTCATTCAAAGACCCAGGGAAAAGGGACCACGCACTGGTCTTGTTAACAGCAGAAGAATCAAAGGATTAGAATGCAGTCGGTCTTGGTCACGTTTAAACATTGTGAACATCAATTCTAGAATACACTGAGTAGACGCATCATAAGAGTAAGAGGAAAACAAGCTCAGAAAATTGCATGTTATAAAAGCAGCCCAGGACCGGCTGCTCGGGATGATAAACAGGAACTTAAAGCTACAAGCCAGTAAGATAACTGAGTCTTCGTCACATAAATATACCTGAAAATGTGAACTGTTGAGGCAGCGAGCAATTTGTCGGAACAGCGGAACCATACAGCGCTGGAACTCTGCTCCTTGAGTAGCTTCCAAAACTTCCTCCAACTCACCAAGGAACATAACCTCCTTCGAACTATTAGTAACGGGCCAATACTTCAAAAGACCACGAATCACAGTATCAGCCAGTTTGAAATCCTTCTCCACAAACTGAGTAATGCAGTAGGAGAGTTGCTGGTGATACATGGATATACACTTTGGCTTGTGAAGTGGAATCAATGCACGGACAAGAAACAGCTTATGTTCTTCCTTCAATGGCAAGGCAAACCCATTAATAATGCTGCCCAATATCTCCAGCAACTCAGCAATCCCATTATGTTTCTCTGTCTCAAAAATGAACCTATAGAAGATATTGTTGATGGACTTCCGGATAAATGGGCGATGCACCATGAATTTCCCATAAACACGATGCAATATCGTCTTCAAATACTCCCTCTCTCTTTGATCCTCAGAGTCAAACAAGTCGAGCAATCTCAACACAAAAGAATGGTCAACGTATCTCTTGGCAAGCTTCGCATCAGTCTCCGCTGAGGCCACGAATCTTAATAGGAACTCATAAACAATCTGAAGATGAGGCCAAGCTGGTTCCATGGTCGGTTCTTCCTCTTCCATGTCATACATTTCAAGTATCTTGTTTTCATGATTCGTGGCGGGAAGAGTTCTGAAGAGATTAGAAGCAACAATTTTGGTTATCTCTAGCATTGCTATCTCGTTGAACTTCATTGTAACTGAGGAGACATAATCGACTAGCTCGAGCAAAGTCTGCCGCTTGATGTCTTTCTCCTTGAGATGCTTGGTCGGATCACTGAAATCGAACAAAACACAGCACATTTGCAGCTTTCTGATGAAGAGATTTTGCTTCTCTGTGTTAGGAACGTCCCGGAAACTAGGCAATGCCTCATAAGCCCCAGAAACCAGGGCATTTACCGGATTGAGCGGCACCCTTTTCCCTTGATTGACTTTGTTCCCATTGTTCAAATGCGATGCCCCTGAATTAGCCGATTTCGAAGCCACTGGAGCTGGCTTTGAGCTGTTAATGGCATTGGCTCCATAACCCGAATTGACAGACGAAGAAGAATAAGCATTATTGAACCCACCATCACTGTTACTTTCGTTACTCGAAGATTTCGAAGGCTTGCGAGGTAACTTCCCCAGTATCTGTTTGATCATATCTCTACACCCCCAACAGAAAACCCTACCCTCCTCCGACCAAACGCTTTCGTCCTAAAATCAAAAATTCAACCCCCTACTCAAAAGCTCAAACTTTCCCGCAACTACGCCTCAAATTAAACGAAACCCCCCTAATTCGAACAGCAGACCAAAAAAGGAGGAAAGAATCAATCTTCATGCAGCTCCATCATTTCCACCACTCATCAGCTGAGGAAGTTGTATGCATATGTATACACAGACGAGCTTCGAATTGAGGAGAACAACGAAAGAAGAGAGCAGCTTTTGACACTTACTCACATTCAAGAAAAACAGGAAGAGATCTGTGAGGACGAAGAGACTGGAAGAGAAAGACGAAAGCCAAAACCCCAAGCCCCAAAATCGCAACTTTTCGGGGAATTCTGATGATCTGGAAAATGGGAAGGAGGTGGGTAGGGTAATAATTAGAAAGAAACCCTAGAAAAAGAAAATTCACTTCCTTTTTTTTTTCAAATTGGGTTGCCTGCAGCCTGCCCCAATTCGTTTGAGAGAGAGAGAGAGAGGTCGAACAGGGAAAAGAAGAAGGCAAGGAAAGAAAGAGGAATCGATCGAAGAAACCCACAAAAAAATTGATAATAATAAATAATTGGTAAACAAATAAATGGAAAATGTACCAAGAAAATATAGCAAAACTACTCTCTGGTTTCTCTTCTCTTCTGTGTGTGTGACAGTCTGTCCGGCGTTCCTCTGCTTTGCTGTGTGCGTGTGCTGATTTAAACAACAGTAATTACTTAAAAAGCAAAAAGAAGCACAAAAGAAAAACAGACAATAATCCTAGGAAATAGCGGACCAGTAAATTAATCAACAGACGGCAGCACCTGCAAAATTTGTGTTGCTCACCGAGTTACTGTTTTGTCCCTTTTGGTTGAAACAATCTTTTGTAACCCTACTTCCGGTTACGGATGGTTCCTTTTTGGGTAAATTTTGATGGTTAGGTGTTTTCTTCTGTATAAAAACAAAACATGAGAATTCTACCCAAAAAACATGAAATTATAGGGTTGGAAAAGGAGGGGGAGAAAGACAGACTAGACATGTCAATTTGAAACAACTTTTAACTACTAATTTTGTTCTTTCATCAAATTGTTATTGTTGGCCTATTAAAACAAATCGGGTAGTAATTAGTTGCGAAAATGATAATGTGATTGGGTGGAACAATAAATCGGCATTAATATTAGTTGCGTTTTAGGATAATTGGTCAAAGATTGGTCTGCAACAAATTTGGGCAATCGTTCCTTTGGGTTGAGAGGAAAAGGTAAGGGTGTCAAAGTTTGGTGTTGTGTATTCAAGTTCGGACAACGGCACTTCCATGGTAATCCAATTTTCTTTCGTCGTTGGGTTCTGGGGATACAGCCGGTAGCTAAAGTTTGTTCCTCAGTGAGTACTAGATGACAATAATTTGAGACTAAGTAAAGACTTTGGGTTGTTGAATGCACTTCTCCTCCCATGACCGAGAGTGATGTTGTGAGTTTTGTTGAGGTTATTCGCAGGTCATTAGCTAAGGTTGGGAGCTTGGGGATGACTCGACAAGAAATTGATGAAGGAAAATCACCAATTGGAAGTTTGCATGATCAGTCTGCTCCAGCAGTAGTAAGAGAGGAAGTAATTGGGGGAACTGGTAGATAAAGTTACTGGTTTGAAATACAAGAGGATATGCCCTAAAAGGAATAAATCATTTTGGAAACTAATAAATAAGTATAGTGTAGAAGTAGTTGTCGTACTAGAGCCTAGTATTCGGGGTATTGAATTAGAGAATATCGTTACAGAACGGTTCCTTGAGTGGGTGAAACGAGTTGCGAATAATTTTAATGGTTTGGGAAAAATATGGTCACTATGGCGTAAAGACATCTGTTTAAGGGTCCTTCCCCAAACTGATCAATTTATTCAAGTTAGGTTTTGGGATTCTCCTCTCTATAACTTTTGTTTATGCTTCTAATTTTGAGGCTGACAGATTTAGAATGCATGAGGATGTCAAAAGAGTTAGGCTTAGAGTTGCATCATGGATTGTAGTTGTTGACTTCAATAAAATAATTTTTTCTCATGAGTCTTCGAATATCTTGTTGTGGATGCTAGTATGTTGGAGTTTAGGAGGAGGTTGGCTGAGCTAGAAGTTGAAGAACATAATGTTGAGGGAAATTGATTCACCTTGTTAAATAAGCATGCTATTAATCTCATTGCAAAAATGCTAGATATAGGGTGTGTTAATCAGGATTTATTGGATACTTGTGTTAACATTTGGGTGCAATTGCTTGAACATGGGGTTCATATCATTGCTCTATTTTAATATATACTGATAAAACTAGTAAGTCATTACCTAAACCTTTCAAATTCCTTAAGTTCTGGATCCATCACCCTTAGTTCCATGAATTGGTAAGGAAGGCTTTGGACTCTGAGGTAACTAGCCCTCCCTTGGTTTGTGTTTTCAAAAGTTTAGGGTCTTAAAGGATTATCTGAAGTAGTTGAATATGGACTATTATTCTACTATTGGGGATAGAGTGAAAGCCATTGCTGCAGAACTGGCAATTGTCCAAAGAATGGCTCTCACTTATCCTTCTAAGAGAGAATTTAGCCAAAGAAGCTCAGATTATAAGTGATTTTCAAATCATGAGAAAGCTGAGGAGTCCTTTTTAGGCAAAAAAAAAAAAAAAACTAGGGAGATTTGGTTGAAGGAAGGTGATACAAGTTCAGCTTACTTCCATTGATCTTTGAACGTGAGAAAGAAGAGAAATAATATTTGTTCCTTGTTGAATAGTAATGGGGCTAAAGTAACAGACAATGATAAGATTTGTGAGGTAGTTAAGTTCTACAAAGTTTTGTTAGGGCAAATTGATGAGGCTGTGCAGTTTAAAGATGTGGGGTTTTATGAGTTGTTATTTGATAAGAAACTGGTTCTTAAGCAGATTGTCGAATTATGTAGACATGACAGAAGATGAGATTAAGGGAGTGATGTTTGGGTTCAAGGAGGAGAAGCCTCTAGGGCTTGATGGTTTCTCTGCTTGTTTCTATCAAGCTTCTTGGGGGATTGCGAATCATGAGATAACCCTGGCTATACAGAGTTGCTCCCAAAAATCTAGAATTGCAAATGAGGTAAATTCTATCCTCTTTGCTCTTATTCTTAAAGTCCATAATCCATAGGAAATGGAAATTTTCGGACCTATAGCCTGTTGCAACATATTGTATAAATGTGTGGCAAATATTTTGGCTTTGAGAATTAGATATTGCCTTCTTTCTTTGATAAATAGTAATCAAACGACTTTCATTAAAACAAGGATAGACTCTCTTTAAAAGGAAAACCTTAGTCCACAGGATCAAATGTTTTCATGATGTCTATCTTTAATACACTTATAGGAAAGAGAACTCATGTTGATTAGAGTACTGTTGTGTGGAAGTCTCCGGGTATTCCCAAGAATCAGTTCCCTGCTTGGTTGGTGGTGAGTAATCATTAGGGGTGTTCAAACGGTGTGGTTACCATGGTAACCGTTTTAACCAGTACTATTTGGATAATTTGGTTTGGTTAATTGGTTTGGTTTGGTTTGGTTAAAGTTTTAGCTTGTTTGGTTTAGGTGGTTTGGTTTGGTTTCATACACTCCTAACCAGTCAAACCAAATTAACCAGATAAATAATTAGCCATATATCTAATATATACACATACTTAATACTTTGAATAACCACTCAAGAGTTAAACGTTCATCCCTTTTAGACTCATAAAATATAAAGCTTGATATTGTTCCTATAATGTATATTTGTATATGTAGAGTGTAGAGTGTAGACCACGATATATGAATGCCTAATTTAGATAAATCTCAGACATTAAGTTGGATGAAAACTTGAAAGTAAGGTCCTTTTCAACCTATGAAAATTGCTAAAAGACTAAGTCAATTCAAACAAACACAACAATTCAGTAACCCATACCATTGTGATAAATTTTTGCTAGGTGAATACTTCTATACTAACCGAAGATAATTGTCTTAGTTGCATGTATTTATGTTAAAGGTCAACTATAACCAAGTGTTGATTGTTATGTTTTATTCATTATATAAATTGTGAATTCATAAATTAACCAAAATTTTTCTCACTTAATGATAATGTGATTTTATATTGGTTAATCTGGTTAACCAATTAACCAAACCGATTAAACTTTAGTTTGGTTAATTTGGTTGTTGTATTAGTTTGGACGGTTTGGTTATGATATTCTATTCCATGGTTAATAAAATTTAGCCTTATTTGGTTTGGTAATAACCATGGTAACCATTTGAACACCCCTAGTAATCATGCCCCTAGTAATCATGCGTCAAATGGGGATAAAATGTTGTCATGGAATCCTTCAAGATCTGTTGAGTGTGTTTACACTGTTAAAGCTATGGAACCTATATCTCATTTATTTGTCTCATGTGATTACTACAAATCTTTGTTTACAGGTATGTTTTAGAACTTTACCGTCAGGATACCTGGGACTGCTTAGAATAATGAGCTTTGTTGGGCTAAGAGTAAGTTATATAAGAAGTGTCTTGAAGCTGCTACCGGCGGACTTATCTAGTTTTCTCTTTTAAGCAAACTCTAAAGGGAACGGTGTTGGTGGAAACTTGTAGGAGATTTGGAGGTGACTGTGTTATTGAAGCAGATACATGGTGAATTTAGGTTGATAGCTTGAGATTATGAAACTGCTCATTTCTAGTAGTTGATGTAATGGGCTTTGACGGGTTCTTGGTTTGGCTTCTAGTTTCTAGTATGGCTTATTTTGAGTAATTTTACACATATAGATAGTAGTTTTCTGCTAAGTTGATAGGTAGTAGTATCTTTTTTTATTGGAATACCTGTATCATTTATTAATGGCTCAAAGAGTATGAATTACAATCAGCCTGGAGGATAGGAAAGAGAAAAATAGGCGGTCTGTCATACCAAATTTCCTCCTCCTGCCAATGACACAGCGTATGGGCCATCAAATGGGCCGCTATGTGATAGGGCAAAAGCGTAATGCCAATTTCCTATCTTGTAGTAATCCGGAAAGTCCGGGTATCGTCTCTCAGGGACTGGTACAACCTTAAGATTTACCGATTTAATAGAGCAAACTATAGGTGAAAATGGTTTAATGAGATTATTAACTACTAGCAAAATAATTAAACTAATTAAGCAAGTAAACTTGTCGGGAGAAATTCAATGGAGAAAGCTCTGGGAGAAACACCGGGATTAACTACCTATCCTATCCAGATTAATTCACATATTCCAATCAATTTAATCCATATCTCTACAGCCAGGATATCACTACTGTGCTGGCTATCCCTGTCGGGAATTACTACGTACTAAATAATCAATTCAAATCCTACTGTCGTAGCTCAATGAATTAACTATTTAGCCTGAAGACCGATATCCCAATTAAGACCGCATAGCACCTTATTTAATCCACTGTCGCTTCGATAAGTTACTACGTCACATGAAATAGGTTCAGTTATTAGGGTTTCACTGTCGCTAATAACCTAATTAACTACGATTCATTGTATTGGTGGCC